AAACAACGACAGCAGGACCTCCTCTCAAAAATCCAAGTTGGAACCAACCATTACTTTCACTCTTGTTATCTTCTTCCTGTGATTGACCTCACCGAGTTTTAAAACAGCACGAATATCTCAGATTTAATGGTTAATTGTAGCCACACAGACTTTGCTTATGGAATCACATCATATACATACAAATCATTGTGAAAGCATCTATATTACTACCCTAAGGTTGTCATGCAAGCATACAGAAATATGATGTTACACATAATGTACAAAATATCATTCATTTTGCAAAGTTATAAAACATGTTAATTAATTGTAAAACAAAAATGTTTATTTTTCTGTTACTTGCACTTTTATTCAATGTAGTTTACTCAAAAGCTTATTTACTATCATCTGAACACAAAGTGAGGTTTCAAGAATATCAAATACATATTATTTATGTTGTATTTATGACACAACCATCCAACCCAGAAATGCAATCTGTCCAGCATCTGTGGGGTTAGCCCTAAGACGTCCTCCTGGTAGGACATGCAGGAAATACCTCCTCTATGCATCCTGGAACAATGTACCATATTTTCTTCACCAGTTTTTCACACTGATATTGTGTGAGCATCAGTGCTTTGTTCTCGGTTCTAAAAGTCCAGGAAACTGCCCTGTTTGGCCTGTATGAATATTCATCCACATAGCCTCAACCAGTATTTTCTGAATGCCTCAAATTGTGGGAAAAGTTCAGTTTATAAACAACACCAGATCATTTCAAGAATGATCGGAAATTCACCAGGAGCAGAGCAAACTAGCTGCTCGAAAACCAGCAGAGTCACATGACAACATAAGACTTTGGAAGTGCAGGTTTCACACGTTTCTGCCCAAAAACACTGGATTTAATAGAGTTACACTAATACATTTTTACATGACAAAACCCTGCGTTGTTTTGGTTTAGTCAGCAAAATTTCTGAGAAGTTAGAGGGCAAGTATGTTCAAATTCAACACAATCACTCAATTATTCCATCATATTCCAAAATTCATTAAAAGCCATCCTTCACAGTTGACATGATACTTTCAACATATTTCTACTCTGGTTCACTTACTCTAGAAGCATGATCTTAAACTGCTTAAACACCCAAGAAATTAAAGGACAACTACTCAACTGAAAAAACATTTCAAAGCAATGTGTCAACATCATGTTAAAAATGTATTTAAAATTATACATGGCAGTTAAATTAAATTGGATTTTTCTTCTTGAACACTCACGTGTGCAGGTTTTGTTTTCCTCATTCCACTGCATAATTCTGGAGAAATTTAACGGACATTTCTGGTCTAATTCAACATATTCAAATATAACGTCACATAAAAATTACTTAAAATCATCCTTGACATGAAATTCTCAGTTGATTACTCCTCTGGGTTACTCCGCTACATGTGTGCCAGTTTTTGAATATGACACAGTCCTGATCAAAAGGTTAAGACCACTTGAAAAATGGCGGATAAATAAATAAAATATTTTTGATGGTGCAGGCACAGTTTAAAGTGGAGCTGGAGTCTGTTTACACACAGAATGAGCAAAGAGGCAGAGCCATTAGTTGGGGGAGAAAGAGACTGACAAATGAAACATGAAGGATGAAACGAAAAGAAAAATGCAATTTCTACTAGAAAACAGTGAGCAGCTCATTTTGATAGACACGTATTTTCTTTTTCTTTACGATATTTATTATTTCTCATTAATACGACAAAGTATTTATCCGATTACTCAATGGAATAATCGATAGATTAATAATCTATAGCTACAGCCCTGGTTGAATTTGAGTAACTGTCTTTTAACTTCTCAGGAATTTTGCAGTTGATTGAGATGAAACTGAGTGTTGTTGCGGTCACATTGAAGATTCCATTGAATTGTGAAGTAAGAAGCACATTACCAGCGAAAGTGAAAAGAAAAATAAATGAGAACTTCACTGGGGAAAACAATGGTCCTGGAGCTTTATTTCTCTTAACTTCCTCTGTGCGTTTGTGTGGGTGTCTCGATTAGCGAACAAGATATCCAACGCTTCACGGTAGGATAAGAGGCAGCTGGTTTCACCCCGACGCACAAATGATGGTTCACTTGACCGCGGTTGTTCTGTGCGCGCTCACAAAAAAAGGGGGTGGCTGGCGCTTTACTGCTCACATGACACTTCTAATGGATTCCGCTCAATACATTAAGAGATTTAATCAGGTGAAGATGATTAAAAATCTATAGCGAACAGAATATGATAGTGACACGAATACTTGGAAATAAAGAAATACTTCTTTGTGCAGAAAATTTCTTCTCATTTTACACACAATGTTGAAATTAAAATATTGAGTTTTTTTATTTTAATGCTGCGTGCGCTCTCAGTACTGCTGTTTATTTCTAACGCCACATCTGCATATTAGAACTCTGAAACATTGCAAAAATTGAATCTTGGCATCTACAAAGATTCGCATTAGATGCCACTAGAAACATCTGGATTACGTTACCACTCAGTGAAATGTTGGAAAACGCCATCAGAAAACACGAAAACCAGTTAAGTAGGAACACCGGGGACTTCTACGCTCTGATAACTTCCAGTCGGAGGCATCTCTTTGTTATTGTGACAGAGTGACTGTGCACCTACCTGCTAGTACGTGACACTTTCAGAATCTAAGGCAATAGTTCTTTTTCACTACACACAAAATTATGCAGTTTTGTGCCACTGAATAGTTTTGAAACTGTTTTGTCTGGGACCCGAAAACATTTGTTAAAAGGCAGTAATGAAAACTGAAAAAGCAACCAATGACGTGACAATGAACTGAGCGACAAACTCATAAAAAATGGAATTAGGTAAAATCAACACGTGAGATATGAAAAATATGGCCGCCAGCGAAGAATGATGCGCAATAGAAGCTTACCTCTATTGATAGACGGGTGTATCCTGATAGGTTTACTGCACTCCTCTGTTCTTGTAGCAATGTTTACGCCACAAACAGCAGACTTTATAGAAAAAAGTCACCTTGTTTTTTTTCCCCACCAACCGATATGCACTGGGTGGGCGGAGCGTCAAATTGCAAAACATTTTTCCTTTGGATTGTTTTTTTTAGAATTCCTTCTGTGTGTAACCGAGGACAAAGGATTAGTAAACGGGGCAAAGAAATATATTGATCGTTTATTTATTACATAAGTTAGACATAATAATTCCCAGTCATTTCCAGACAGGACTTACAACACATCCTGCTGATATCCCAGCTGCACATGAGACTTACCACACAAACTGTGCGAAAATAACAACACTGCAACCTGTCACACCCCGCTTAGCGACACTGCAATCGTGGCACACACTGCAAACAATTCGGGTCTCAGCGCAGCTGGGAATCAGTGCTATGCATGGCCTGTGATCTGGGAGAAAAAGGGAAGTGGCACAAACAATTAAAAAACCGCCTTTACGGCTGGACGGACTAACCAAAACAAAATTACAAATCAATCAAAAGAACGAAAAAAGGACAGCAGAGACAGCACAGCTGAAAAACAACATTATCAATTAAAATATTACCCAATAAAATAACAATTTTATAAAACCATTCAAAATCATGAAGCTAAAACAAACACTCAATATACCTACAATATTGATCAGTTTCCCTGCGCGCAGTCGATCTAGGGCTTGATCAATTCTATTAAAATTCGTGGTTACACTAAAAAAGTCCAATGACACATTAAAAATAGGCACATGCAATAGCAAACGATCCAAACAAAAATGGCAAAAGTCTCTTACCGACAGTACCCACTCGCACCTGAGTGAATTAATTGCTTCTGGTTTTTTCCACAGAAGAGCGCTGACTTCATCCCACACACCCACTACCTTTTCACAGCTCTTCAGCCAATCACCTGGCAGAGAGCAACAAACTGCCAGGTGACACTTGTTACATGTGGTTTACATTTTTACTTTGCAATAGCTCTGAAGTCCTGAAAGGTCTCACGCTCACACTCTTACACAAAAAATAATTGTACTTCCTCCTCCTTATTCTTTATTTTACGGTGCAAACTTTCATTAATCAGCACTAATAGGTTGTCTCCATTTAGTTGGCTCAATGATTATAGAACTAGTTAAAAAGAAAATTCAAAGAAATTCAGATAATGTGGCATGGATGGAATGGTGGCCCACACTTCATTGTTGGCCTACTTCAACAAATCAAAGACAATCAAATGAAACAACTGTGCAAACACAATTTATCTCAAATACGTATTGCCAATTTTGGTGTCTGATAAAAAGATATCTACATCACACTATGTAACCCTCGTTCCAAACATTACATAGATGACTGATCTGAGGCCCCGGGGACCCCAACAATAATTTATTGGAAGTTTATTATAGCATCAAAACATGTTTCTTTACAAATCATTTTACTTATCTAATTAATTTTATCCAAAGAAAAACAACAATCTATTAATTTTGCAACATTACAATAAATTTACATATTTTATAAAACAAAACTTAATATTTTTCTATAATAAAACTTGTATCTTTTACACAACAAAATCATTCATTCAGTATAAAATAAATGCCAGCCCAGAAATGTAATCTCGCCAACATATACTGGGTTTGGCTTGAGCTTCCTTCACTTGGAGGGCATGCAAAATACGGTTCCTTTTCATGCTGAGGGCCAGTCCTATGGGCTCAAACTGTGGTCATAAATATTTTGTACTTGTAAATCAGAATTTGTATGTGTAAAAAGAATTTGTGTGTGCGTAAAAAAGATTTGTGTGTGGACTTAGCCAAAAAATACGTGTGAAACTCTGCACTCAAGTTTCAAGTTACAAGTACGAATTTTGACCCTGTTTTTCTTCCTTTCCACACACAAATCTTTTTTGAAGGCTGGCCAAAGGAGGAGATAGAAGCCACTGACATAAAGACAAGAAAGCTCCTTACCATGCATGGAGGTTTCACCCCAAGTCCAGCACCCTGAGGCTGTACACTAAGCGGAAGGAAGGGGGCCGGGGACTGGTGAGTGTCAGCACCACAGTCCAGGATGAGACAATGAACATCCAAGAATACATTGGGAAGATGGCCCCAACTGACCGAGTGCTCAGTGAATACCTCAGGCACCAGAAACCCAAGAAAGAGGAGGGAGACGAGGAACCATCATGGAAGGACAGGCCCCTGCACGGTATGTACCACCGGCAGATAGAGGAGGTGGCTGATATCCAGAAATCCTACCAGTGGCTGGACAAAGCTGGACTGAAAGACAGCACAGAGGCACTAATCATGGCAGCACAAGAACAAGCTCTGAGCACAAGATCCATAGAGGCTGGGGTCTATCACACCAGGCAAGACCCCAGGTGCAGGCTGTGTAAAGATGCCCCAGAGACAATCCAGCACATAACAGCAGGGTGCAAGATGCTAGCAGGTAAGGCATACATGGAACGCCATAACCAAGTGGCCGGCATAGTGTACAGGAACATCTGTGCCGAGTATAACCTGGAAGTCCCGAGGTCAAAATGGGAGATGCCCCCAAGGGTGGTGGAGAATGACCGAGCTAAGATCCTGTGGGACTTCCAGATACAGACGGACAAAATGGTGGTGGCTACCAACCATAGTGGTGGTAGACAAACAGAAGAAGACGGCCGTAGTGATCGATGTAGCGGTTCCGAATGACAGCAATATCAGGAAGAAGGAACACGAGAAGCTGGAGAAATACCAAGGGCTCAGAGAAGAGCTCGAGAGGATGTGGAGGGTGAAGGTAACGGTGGTCCCCGTGGTAATCGGAGCACTAGGTGCGGTGACTCCCAAGCTAGGCGAGTGGCTCCAGCAGATCCCAGAAAACAACATCTGTCCAGAAGTGTGCAGTCCTAGGAACTGCAAAGATATTGCACAGGACCCTCAGGCTCCCAGGCCTCTGGTAGAGGACCCAAGGTTGAAGGATAAAGACTGTCCACAGGGCAAGTGTGGAATTAGTAAATATGCAGAGAATGCAGAGAAAACAGAAGACTTTATTTTCCATCAGTACCTGGTTCCACAGCGGTTTATCATCGTATCTGTGAAACAGAAACATTTAAGGACTGTGAAATAAAATTTATAGCGGCTGTACATTCCAGGCCTTCCTTAGCTATGTAGATATTATAACAATATTTTCAGATTAATCTGTCAGTCTGCCCCAGGGCAGCTGTGGCTACAACAGTAGCTTGCCTCCACCAGTGTGTGAATGCGAGAGTGAATGAATAGTGGCATTGTAAAGTACTTTGGGTGCCTTGAAAAGTGCTATATAAATCCAATCCATTATTATTATCTTACTTATAATCAGGTTATATTTACTGTCCAGCTCACCTTCTGTTTCTCCTTCACCTCAGCTACAATCTGTGTCTGTCTGATCTTAGCACTGAAATGACAGACAGCAGCATCTCCAGGCAGAGGGAAGACAAAAACAGCCTCTGATGGTTTGTCCTCCTTATTCTCGTAGTTCAGGGTGGAGACCACTGTAGCCACATGGTCCCTCACCTTCAGCTCCACCTCAATGCTCTTCAGAGGAACTGACATTCAAACTGAATTACCAAAAAACCATAAATCAGAGATGTTTTGAAAATGGTTGTTTGTTTCTTCTTTTTACATTTCAGTAAAAGAAACTTGTTAACCAAGTTGATATTTAAACACGGTTCTGTCCAACAAAGTGTCAACTTGAAACAAAAAAAAGAAGAAAAAGTGTAATTTTGTTAATATTTATATTTAACTTATCCAGTCTATTTTTTAAATAACTTTCTTATTATTTAGTTTTTTTGTAGGAACTGTACTTGCAAAACATAAACGTGCAGATCATGTCTATATTGGGTCCGTCAGTTCATTACCAATTCTGGACATCTATGCAACATCCAAACTAGGCCCACAATCTGGATATCCAACAATGACCCAAGTTAGACGTTAATATGACTTTCAACATTTTAACTTTGGACTAGCTAATTTTTCTGGACATCGCATGGACGTCTATGAGAGGTGCAGGAAATTTACATTATTGATAAATGTAATATTTTTTTGTTTAGAAATATCAAGCTCGTTGTTATGAACATGATACATATGAATACAAACTATTCATAAGAAAACAAAATTTATTAGCCTATGTATTTGTTCAGTACATGTGGGGTTTTGGGGGGTATTTTTTTTAACTGGTTATTTATTTCATTATATGTCCTCCACCTTCTGAAAACATGTTACTAAAGAGCCTACAGAAGTAGTATAAAAATGATATCTAAATTAATATAAATTTGATGTTGAAAGAACAGCCACAACAACCACATGTAGGCTGCTCATACGCGTATTTGTACTATTATCCCCAGTTTTTATTTTTTATTTTTATTTATTTAATTACAATTATCCTCTCTATCACAAAAGTATGTGAAGCAAAATATTACATGCCAAGCAACGAGTCTTTACAATTAAGGATTAAATAAATGACAATGGTAATTTATTTAATGACCGATTGTCATTTATTTAATGAACTTACGTTCATTTTGAAAAACGTTCATTTAGAAAAACGTAAGTCTCTTTGTATCAGTACCTGGTTCCTTTTGGAGATTTAACAGACCAGAGTAGTTCATCCTCGTACCTGTGAACCAAGAATATTTGAGGACTTGTATTAAAAATAAATGTATCCTTTTATCCATTATCGGGTCCTGAGGGCAGCAGCCTAAGCAGAGAAGCCCAGAAATCCACCAAGGCAACGCGTTAGCACCATGCAGCCCCACCGCGCTAATGTGGATTTGCCACCTTAATGAATCAGAGCGAATCAGAGTCCGAGCACCCAACCTGTGGACTGTTAGTCGGCAGACAAGAAGGAAAACAGCTACAGTTGTAATGTTTATCATTTTACTACATTCATTTATTAGTGTCTGTTTTATACCATTGTATCCTCTTTAGTTTCATACATAAATAGAGTCTAATCCACCATCACATTAATAAAACGTTTGGAGGTAAATGCTACCTACAAGGGGTCTAAATTCAACAGACAAGTGAACACCTGGTGTAGATTTCTTTCAAACTTGCCATTTACGTGAAAAGGGAAAGACTATATCTGAGTCGAGGAGGGGGCCTGAGGGTACATCTTTCGCCATCTTGCAATGCTGTGATTGCAGCCATTTCCCAAATCTCTGTGAATGGTACTCATGGCAACTGATCAGCGGTCTTTGATCAATAAGCTTTGATCAGTGGTTGTTGATCAATGGTCATGAGAATTTGCATGTTAATGATCAAGGAACTGACCTCCCAGCCTATTGTTCCTTCACTGGTGCTAGTTTCAGTCATTATAAAAATGTACTGTTCATAAGGTTGGGGAAACGTGCAGTCAGCTGAGACTGAAGAAGTCCCTTTGATGAGTGACAAAACGTTTCTCTCACTGAAAACGTTACGTCCAGATGAACAGACTCAAACTTTGGGGATTAACTTGCCATTAATTTTGTAATCAAAGTTAGGGCTGTTATCGGGGCGGAGGCCCTGGTGTTTTTTTTACAGGAAGACTTGACCCTAACACTCACGTGGGCAATGACAGAGAGACCTGAAGCATTGTGATTGGGAGGACCAGCCTGCCTTATCTGAACCTGAGTAGTGTTTTGTTATCAGACTTTGTCCATAATGACCACCATGTTTTAACATGAGAATGGCAATAAGTGCATGTGTCACCCGGACATCCTAGGTTTTCAGTTGATGATCAATTTTGTAATCTCATCATCGGATCTGCAGCCATATATTCTGGACACTTGCGTAAAGAGATGATCTGAACTGACAGCTCACTATCCAACTCACCAACTGGTGGTGGAAGAAAATAAATGGAAGAATAGATGGAACAGAAATATAAATTCCTATTTCTTTCAAAATAATAGTCCAACCCAATCTATATATGGATACAGACATACAGTACAATATATGGATGTGTTTATGAACTTTAATTATTCAACTTCAGGTCTTAAAGTTTTAAACACATTGTGCACATTGGTATTTTTTAAATAAAATTAATATGAGCTACATTCCTACCTGATGATTTCCTCTTTAGGCACTCATAATCAAACACAACAATACAAACGGTTTAAGAGCGTTACATTCCTCTTCCATTTACAGAAAGAAAGAAGTAGTAAATATTCTACTAAAACAGGGTCCTAAAAAAGAATCTGCTTTGATGACAGTTTTATTGTACTTTCAAACAGAGTGTCATCTACAGCAAATCTATAGCAAACCTCCCTCGTTTACCCACACCTATATATTTGCACAGAGAGATTGAGGTTCCCTGTTACATTTACTGAGATCAGCAGCAGACATTCTGTGTTTACGACTCAATAAAATGACATTAAATGACACTTTAATGTGTTTTACAGCATTGCAGACAGTTTCTAACTGTCAATGTTACAGTGAATAATGGTCAGATTAGGGTTGATCTTTAAACACAGGAGTGTAACTGCTCCTCTCTATCAACCTATTACAACTGATTACACTTTCAAAACCAACAAACCACAGACATAACATTTCTTCAGCGATGGCCTTCATAGCTGCAGGATATCACAGACAGCACTCCCATGCATAACTGCAAGTCAACAGTTTGAAACAACAAGCTGCAGAGTTTACCTTTGCAGAGAATTCTGACTGTCAATGATTAGGGTTGATCTTTAAACACAGGAGTGTAACTGCTGTGTTTTCTTACTCATCAGCAGAGATAAATATAATTTTTTACAGCATTACGGCGTAAAATACTTTACAATGATAAATATACTGTAGGATAAATGGAAGATTCTGTCAGTTCCTTCAGAAATGCCTCTTATAGCTGCAGGATGTCACAGATAGCAGACTGCAAACTATTTTTTTTCTTTTTCTTTTAATTTTTTAATTAAAATAATTTAATTATTCCTGTGTTTTGTGAATCATGAAGTTTGAGCTAAGGGAAACATGAACCAGTTGGTTGATGGTGGCTAAAGCTGGAATATTAAATCAGTAAATGCTGTCATCAGAATGTAAAATGTAAAAACCATAAAAACGAGGTAAAGAGTAAAAGGAGTACTTGGTTAAGCCAGCTTTTAAAAGACGTCAGCGATATGTGTACTTTGTGCATCTTAAATAAAATTACCTAAACTGCAGTCACTCAGTCAGCAAACCACAAACAGTCAAAACACCTGCGACTTCACTCACATGTGTGTGACCACATGTGTGTGAATGTTTCAGTCTAATGTTTATTGTGAGAAATGAGTCACTTGTTTAGTGTGAAAGAAATATCTGCAGAAAAATAAAGTGCATGATGTCAGTTTCATTTTATCATAAAGTGTTAGATGAGATCAGGCTGCAAGTTCAGGCGTTGCTGAAAGGAAAGAGAACCAAGATAAGCTGGACGAATCAAACAATGACTGCACCTGTGCTGGAAGTGAGATTCTTCTGTCTTTTGTTTATATCATATTTATAATCAGTACTAGCACACATTGGTATTTTGTAATTGGCAAACTAAATTTTACTAAATAGTGTAGCCTTTCTCACAGTGCTGTCATTATTAGACTGTTTTACCCAGTGTCCTCTGCAGGTCTGAGACTGAAGTGCAGCTGGTTCTCAGAGGGATGACCTGCCAGGCTGTACTTCACTGTCACACAGCCCTCTGCTGCCTCTGAGCTCTGACACAGAATCACAGGGTCAGAAGTCACGTTAATTACTGTCATCAAATACCTAAACAACAACATGAGAAGGTGCTGCTCTTACCTGTCCAGTAAGCTGGGCATAAATCAGTGACCTCTGACCCTTGAAAAGTATTGTGATTGGTGGAGAGAGGACAGTGACAGACCCTTCCTTTGGTAAATCCCATATGACTGTGACAATAGGGTGCAGAGCAAATCACAGCGACTGCATCACCTGAAAAATAATGAAAATCTCTCCAAATATACACAAACAGCTGGAACGCACATTTTACTCACTGCAGGTAAATGGTAAATGGCCTGTATTTATATAGCGCTTTTCTAGTCCATAGGACCCCAAAGCGCTTTACATATCCAGTCATCCACCCATTCATTCACACACTGGTGATAGCAAGCTACATTGTAGCCACAGCCACCCTGGGGCGCACTGACAGAGGCGAGGCTGCCGGACACTGGCGCCACCGGA